GGCCTATGACTGTTAAAAATATGTTACCCATACTCTATAATATGTACTTAGTTTCAAAGTAATACCTGCGACCATTGTTGATTCTAGAACCTGATTTCAAAACGATTTGGAAGTACACTGAGGCTAAATAAAACTCAAGAGGAGGTAAGATGTTCATACTTTGTAAGTGAAGTATTTGATATAAAAAAAAAAAAAAAAAACCAAAGACGAATGCAAGTTAATTAGGACCTTAATCATGAAGTTTATTATATGATTCTTGGTCGTAAAACATAGGGATTGGTGTTCCAAAATTACTGTTTTGTTCACCTCTTTTTCTTCTCGTAAAACTGACAAGGCACAATCTGTCAACCAATCGCATAACTTGTTAACTAGTTAAATCCGGATTTAACAATAAATCCGGATTTAATGATTAAATCCGGATTTAATTATTAATCCGGATTTAATTATTAAATCCGGATTTAACAATTAAATCCGGATGCAGGTATTAACTCTAGCTTAGATATTAACTTTCTTTTAACTATTAAATCATGAGAATAGTTTCAAAATTCATCGAATTAGGAGCAGTGAAAGTTAAGGCATTAATTTTGTTTAAAACGCTAATCTGTATAATTTCTATTGATATATATATATATATATTGTAAGTGGGAACGGGATTAAATGAATTTGGAATTTTAGGGTTAGGGTATAGTGTTTATATAAAATAAATTCCACAAGAAATACCAATTTAACTAAGAAATTTCAAATTCACTTAAATCCCATCCCAACTTACAACATATATATAGACCTCGCTATATTGTTTTTATAAATTGCTGCATTTTAACAGACAATTCTTTTAAAAAAAGTTTGTAGTTATTTAATTAAAAATCATTAGATTTTTTGCAGTATAACTTATAGACTTGATTATGTGTATATATCAAATATTTTCAATAATAAAAACTTATCGTCAATAAGATACGTCGTTATCTTCTAATTAATATTAAATCAACCCATTTTTTAAAAAAATAAACAGCAGGGTTAGAGTTCGAGTAGGTTCGAGTCCATTTTTGTTACACCAGGAATTATTAATTTTCAATAATTTATTGCTATTCTAAAACAAAAAAAAAAAAAATTTTTTAGGCTTTGTGAAATGAGACAGTATCCTCTTATTAGGCCAATTTACTTACTGTACGAACATAGAAAATTGAAACGTGTTTTGGCTAATCGTAATTGTTTGCACATACATCCTTTAATTGCCTAGAACAATTACATTGTGCATACAACTGTGATGTTTTATTAAATCATTACATAAGACAAACTTAAAGAGGGAACAAAAGTTACTGGTCAACTCCTGCGTGAGAATCAAAAGAAGAAAATGAAGAAAAAAATGAGAATGTAATGGCAGGCCCAAATCTGGCTAGTGGAATACTAAAAAAGCGTAAGATGATCCTAGATGTATTATTAGTTATTTAACAATAATCCGAAATCTAGCCTTTATAGTAACCTTTCGTTTTGTCCTTTCGTGTGTTTTATTTGCGGAGCGATATTAAGAAGTTTCTATAGATAGTATAGCAAAGATAAATAAAACATGTAATTATTACGCCCAACTTATGGCCTGATGTATTTTTAGCCAATTAGCATTTATCATCGAATGAACACATAAAACAATTAATGCAGCATTTCCTTTCCTGAGGAATTTGTAATACCCCTATTTGTTCTTAACCAAGGAATGGTTACCCATCTACTGGAAGATTAAAAGTGTCGGAATTACAGATTATTCAAATTTTAATGCCCCCGAGAATACATATATAGAAATAATAAGTACTAAAAGGTAATTAAAAAATGCTAAAGATTGGAATTGGGAGGACGTACGGCATTGCCCGCGTTTGTGTCATAATTTTTTAGGCACTGCCACGTGCCGAGGATGTAAATAGTTTTCGTAGAGACGCTTCGAATTCTAGAAGACTATCTATACTTTAAAAACTTTTTTTTTAATCAATGATATTTATTTTAGCGAGTGCATAAAACGCATACAATACCTCGCTCAGATACTAACAATCGTAGATCGCTTGAAAATGAGTTAATAATACGGCTTAAGACGGATCGATTTGTTACGATTTATTCGAAAAATTTAAAATTATAATATATTTGCGGTAAACATATTATACTAAAATTTTAAACAAGTGTTACAATAATCTTATACAAAAAAGACGAAAATAACAACATAACATCTATCACGAGGTATATATGTACTATATACAACCCAACCATTTTTGTACCCTATTACCAAATTCCAAATATACCGTATACCGATCGTGTGAATTATTTAAATAATCAGGATAGTAGACTAATTATTAGACTAATTAGTTTTAACCTAAAATGACATAAAAGCGTTATATCGCCGAAGAAATTTCGTAATGCAGTCGAATCAATGTACATTATTAAATTCCGAAAATTGCGTCTTATTCTAATTTGTGTCCATATTTATGATTGTATCCTAATAATCTTAAAAAATCTTAGTTGTACATGTACATAAATTTTGTCATGCGAGACTTAACCTTATTAAATCAAAACCATAAAAAAAAAAAATAATAAATAAATAAAAAAACGGCCAATTTTTCCATAGTAACCAACTTATATGTGCATATAAAAAATTTTCGTTTGCCGTTTTTTTTTCATATATCGATGGAATCTTTAATCCAACCCATAATTAAATTATCATCATTATGAACCTTTCCGACGACAAATATGCCTTTTGTTTCACCTTCATATTCGCCAACCACAGCAACGCAGCCCATCTGTGGTAATCCCTTGACTCTTATATGATCCCAATTACGTTCTTCTAATGACAAAGATTTTAAGAGCTCCCAAGGTTGCTCATTTTCTTCATACTCGAAATTATCTCTTTCCTCTCCATTCAAAATAATGATACGTTTGTGCATCGAAAACATCGCAGCATGTACTCTTCTTCCGACTTTACTTCCATCCGTCTTTATCCAATATGACGGAAGTGTTAATGTAGGTGACAATCGTGAACCATCAGGATAAGGTGCGATAATTTTATTCCAATTTTCTTGGCGAACATCATACAAATGAATATCCTTATCATCGTGTATTTGTATTTCGGTTGACGAAAAAGAGGAATTTTGGCCACCGTAGATGTAAAGTTTCTCATCTAATACCATAGTACTATGCGAAGCACGTCGATAAGGCATTGATTCTACATAAGACCAACTTTTATTTTCTATATCGTAAATTGCAAAATGTTGAGTGTCATACATTTCTCCTCCTTCATTCATCAAACATCGTCCGCCAAACATTGCCAAACGTTCATTACTGATAGCATTGAGTGAATGCATCTTTCTGGGAGCGGGGGTTGCTGAAGATTCTATCTTAATCATTTTAGAAGTTTTAAAGTCTAATTCGTAGAGCGCATTAGATAATTTTTCGGTTTCTATATTTTCTCCACCAAATATATACATTTTTGTGTTTGTTGTGTTTGTAACTATCGCTGCGGCACTATACCGAACTGGTTCATATTGATCAGGTGATTCTAGGTCTATCTCTTTTTTATTCCACCTGATCGGACGATCGGCCAAATTAAGAGACCAGCAAATTGGTCTATCACTAGAAAAGATCACTAGATAGAATGTATTATCAGACCATACACCATCTCGGTAATTAGAAGCGATAATGTTACTGTTATCGATTCCAGAAACATTTACTCCCTCCCATTCAGGTGACACAAATCCGAAACGAAATTTATTTGTCATGCGATATAGCCATCGACAAGTTTTAGAAAGATTTTTTCGGTCATCCTTATTTAATTGTTCCATAATAAGATACAAGGTCTCTGTGGGAAGCCTGGAAAGTTTATTGTCTTCTAACATCAGTGAATCAGTTGATTTTTAAGTGCATATAATCCAAGCGCAACGAAACCCGGTTGACATTGGGTTTCGAGGAGTTAGAGGACTTAGTGATATGAAAATATGAAACCTTTTTAAAGTTATATCCCCCTCGTAATGGGTCAAAAAGAGACGGAATAATCAGAAAGATTCAAGTAAGCTATTTACTTCTTGGAGGGCCTTCTTTTTATAATTTTCAATCCAATTTCCACGTGAGTCAGAAGAGTACTAATATATGCTTCATAACTTTTATCCCAAATTTGGAGTAAAAACCTTCAGGCAATTTAGATGAAAGACCATTCGAGGTTTAGTAAATGTTTTGTTTTTGCTATTCAAATATATTTGGTTAGTTCATTACATCAT